GTGTGTTCATAATTTTACAAATATAAATTCTTTAATAATCTGTCTACCCACTTCTTGTGTCTCTCTAAGGGTTTACTCAAAATTACCTAGTCTTCTTTGCCAAAACTTCTTTCAATAACCTGTAACATCTGATGCCCTAAAATCTAAAATCCACTCTAGACTTCCTAAGGATTAACCCATCTTAAAACAGTAAGTCAATAATTTACACTTTTCCATTACATTTTCAAAGCACCAAAATTTCAAATAACTCAAAGAAGAACTCTACTTGCTGGATGAAGAGATTCTCAATGGTGAAAATCTGGATAATCGCAATACGGTGAAAATCTGGGTGATCACAATATGCACTAAGTAAGTGTTAATTTGTTTCTGTAACACTTCTCAAGAGCAAGTATTAATAGTAAACAAATGAGATTACGCATTAAAATTAAAAAATATCGACACAACACGCCAACTTGGATCAAGGATTAAATCTTGAACTAATAGACTAATGGACTAATAGACTTGACGCGCTGTTTCTGATCGCACTCGCACACATCGGCCAGCTTGCCCACATTTGTCTTCGAGCATTGCGTATATGTATGTAGGTATTTTCATGCTTAATTTTCTCTTCATGTATTCGTGTAGATATGTATGTTTAATTGATCTTCAATTCCAGGCCGAAACAGAGAGTGTGTGTGTGTGTGGGGGGGAGTGTGTGTGTGTGTGTGTGTGAGAGAGAGAGAGAGAGAGAGAGAGGGAGAGGGAGAGGGAGAGGGAGAGAGAGGGAGAGAGAGGGAGAGGAAGAGAGGGAGAGAGGGGAGAGAGAGGAGAGAGAGAGGGAGAGAGAGAAGAGGAGAAGAGGAGAGGAAGGGAGAGAGAGGGATCTTGGGAGAGAAGGAGGAGGAGAGCGGAGAGGGAGAGAGAGAGAGAGAGAGAGGGAGAGAGAGGGAGGAGGAGAGAGAGAGAGAGAGAGAGGAGAGAGAGAATGAAGGGGGGTTCATTCCGCAAGGTGCCGGCCAGATTCAAAGCGTTGCCTGAAGCGCACGCGTGTGTGGCAGGGTCCGTTCAAGAAGGGGCTGGCGGGGCGGGACACTCGTACAGCGTGACGGGGGCGCGGCGCGTGCGCCTCGCAAAGGGGCAGGCGAGGGGTGCGGCTAGTGCGCGTGCGCAACCCTCGGCCGCTGCCCGGACACCGAGTGGAGCGGCGCGTGGAGCGACGGGTGAGTACTTCTGCAATTTGCTTCACAGAGTTACTTTTTCTTGCCACTCGTTTACTATTTGAAAATACACTGGTGGAAAGCCATTCAATGTGGTGTGGTGCTATATGTTTCATTTAAAGAGAAATCACAAAATTAGATTGAATAGAGAAGCAAAAATGGTTTTCTAAAGGGATGGATTTAAGACGATTTCTTCATTGGAAAAACTGGAATGCAAATTATTCAACTTCTTTACGTTGAAAGTATTAGTGAAGGAAAAGGATTATGTATTTTTTTCAATAAAGGCAGTTACTCTGCGATTAATACTACTCCTATTTTCCGTGTGCTAATATTAACTTTAATTTGTGGGTTAGCGACCATTGGAGATAAAATCTATTCAAAATCAAACTTCAAGAGGGAATTTTGAACAGACATGGCTATCGTATAAAGTATATCTCGGATATTCGGACAAATGCTATTTAGTTCTTTAGTAGATTGTGGAAAATAGTTGCAAATGTTTATGAATCATGAAAAAATAGATCTTCTAAATCATCTAATAGTGCTAAAATCTTCCAAACGGGCGGTTGTTGCCAATTGAATATGTTTTGCCTAAACAAGTAAATTTTGGAAGAACTATGATAATTATTTGAAAAACTGTTTTATCCAAATACAAATAGTTTCCCTAATTTTCTTTCTGATCAATGCACAATCGATTACGCTTCAAATCTCTTACCCAACACATTTACATAAGGAGCTTGCAATATAAAGAGGATGTTTTCACGCTGTCTCTTCTCCGTACACACTTCTTAGCCCATGCACCCTAATTACGTAATGTCTGTACGCCGACTAAAATCTCATTATTACACTTTTGATCTTCCTAACACTGTAACTTCGTTAACTCCCACGCAGTTTTTAAGCCACGCAGTGTTTATAACATCGCAATTTCAAGTTTTATAAACAACGCAAAAAAGCTTGCCGCGACGACGTGGATGAGACGTACTGCGCTCTCGCGACATGGCCGCGTCTCGGCTCTCGTCCGGCGCTCACGCTGTATTTAAAGTAATAGAGAAACAAAATTATTGAACTCTTGTCGTGGGAGTTTTTTAATATATATATATATATTATATTATATATATATATATATATATATATATATATATATATATATATATAATATATATATATATTTTGGTGTCGTACCTGGGAAGCGGTTCTTTCACGGGCAAATAATTACGCAAGGGACAGGTACATTTTCGTGAATGGGTCTCCAGGAATTTGGCGTAGCATAGGAAGATAATCCGTTATAAATTCTTTTGGCACATTTAAATATTTTAATGATCAGAAGACACGCTTACAATAGTATTTACAAATCGGAATGCGCAGGCCTTGGAAACAAGCGCACGGCGTCAACGCTACCTTGATGTTTTAAAAACCACCTGCTTCCTCTAGGGCGACCGGGCCGTCGTGGCAACGGGCGGGGTGTCTTCGGCAATTTTCGGTCGCCCCCGAAGTCCGCCGGGAATTCGCTCTCCTTCGGCGTCCAACTCCTCTGGCCCCACCGTAACGGCCGATGAATTCGCCGGGTCCACCCTCAGCCGTACGAATAATGTCTCACGGGTACTGGAACGCACGACGCGTGATTGATGTTCGTCGGCAGTTCTAGTCTTTCAGCGACCTTTCTCCACTTTGCGCGGATGTCCGTACAGTACTGCCCACTGTTATATTATCCAGGGATATGACACGAGTCCATCGGGCACACGATTTCCTGTCTTATTGTTTTTATATCAGTTCTGGTGCGCAATTCCACTTTCACTAATCATCTGTTGTTAATCCTTATCAACCTGATTCCACACTCAGCGGCCACACTCAGTCCGAACTGCACTTAACAACGACAATTAATCTCTTGGACGCAGCACTGCCTCGTTCGTGCTTCACTCGAGGCCTCTCCGCGCACTACCCTCTAACCGGTGCTCGCCTCGCCGTTTACCCCCCGATTTGACCGTTGGTGGCGGCGGCGGAGGCGGCGTTACTGCGCTGATCAGCTCCAGTACTTTATTTTAATTATAATTAGTGATCAATTTTAATTGTTCTAATACAGAAACGTTCGTCGTTTCAATATACACACACATATATATATATATATATATTAAATGGTCACTTGTTAAAGCTGCCAATGCATTGTAAATCATTATTTTCATGTTTAATTTTCTCTTCATGTATTCATGTAGATAGGTTTGTGAAATTGATCTTTAATGCCACGCCGAAGCAAGTGATGTTTACACTTCAAGTGGTATGCATCAGTTTTTGGTCCTTGAAAAGCAGATGGCGCCGATCACCTTTATCCTTCAGACAAATTATCACTTCTCTAACAATCTGAGGTCACAATGGATCCCGGCTTGCAAATGTTTTTGTATCTAAAATTATCTTTTTGCTTCTATTTTCAACAGCCTTGAAAAACAACAGATACGTTCACTTCCTCTGAATACTTATTTCCCTCTTTGCATCTGAAAGTAGTCATTTGTACTTGGAATGCAAGTGTATATTTGTTGTAAGTTTGGTAGGGTATACTATTCCCTTTAAATGGAATTCTGTTGAAAGCAGAGACGATTATTGCACACCGTGAGCGCTGGTTTGAGAGAGGAAGCGCGAACCTCGCCGCGAGAGCGAGGGGCGGAAGTTCTCGCGAACGCGCGTCAGCCTGTCGCGGATCACGTGCGCGGCCAAATGATACTAAAATTACATTGTTGATAAAATGGCGTACTCTCGAACAAGACCTTTCACTGAAACATTTTGGCATCCTATGAGGCCACGTTGCGCGCGGCGGTGCTGTCGTTCACCATGCTCTCGTGGAACTGATTCATTCACGATAAGTAATAAGAGTCCCAATAAAATTGGGAGTAAATGCAAAGTGCTAATTTAAATTGTGATTTTACGGTTTGCGGCGTGGTGCACGATAATACCCGTCACTCGTCTGCGAAGTGAAATCGTATCTTTTCAGGAAAACCATAAATAGGCTCATCTAGAGTATGGGAGGATACTTTTGACATATTGAATGTATATATTACTTTCTAACTTTGCGTTTCTGAATGCTTAAAATATATAATTCCGCAGGGTTTATTTTCATAATTTTACGTAATTAAATTTTACTCAATTATTTGTTAATCATATTTCAGAGGATCCCAAAATGTTTATTTTCTTTTAAATTTTGCAATTGATTTTCAGAAAAAGTATATAATTTTTCGGAATTAATAATGGATCTTCAGGAGTCCCCAAATCATTTAGTGGTTAGTACCATTGATTGATGAAATTCCCGTTGCCTAGTCTTTTCTCACACACACCGACGTAACCTTACGTTAGGCTTGTTAAGTTCAAATTCACCCTAGTTAATAAAAATTCTTAATCTAGTATGTGCCGAATGACATTTAGTTAGTTTATTCAGTAAGAATTGCTTGCCGTGCGCTAAGTATCTTGGCACATCCGGGGGGGGGGGAATAGTTACTAAAGATACTTAATTGGTCACGCTAGATTATAATGAAGCTGTCGATCTGGAACTAGAAATTGATTTTGATTGCTAGAAATTGAGCTTTATTATTTTATTATTAAAATTGATTTTGCCCCAATATTAAAAGTATTTGTATTATAACTTTGTTTCATTGTGAATTGAAAAGAATGTCAATTTAATAAAATTCCGTATCTTCCAAATACACACAATGGCTTGCAAGAAACCACAAATGTATTCAATCTTGTACGGTTTTTTCTGGAGTAATGTGTACTTCCTTTTTATTTCTCCGAAATATTGAAACTAATTTATTTCTTGCGGGCCAGTGATTCTCGATGGGACGAGATCGATCAGCCTACGAAGGACAGCATGGAGTTCAAAGTGGAGGAAGACGGAGAATTCTGGATGGAGCTGAACGATTTCACTAGCAACTTCAAACACATTACTTTCGCCACGAAGAAACCTGTGGAAATGGATGACGCCAAATATGTAACTAATTCATAGAACTCTAAGAAAGCAGGAAACGGATGCTTCAGTAAATCACAAAAATATTTGCATCCTTACTTTCGAAGTCATTACCCTAAGGGTAGTGTTGAAAATGTCTGTTTTAAATTCAAAATGTTGAATTTAGTCTTTTAATTATCTTATTCTATACTAATATTTACAGTCAGAGGAAATGTTTAGTACAGATAGATTAAAGTTATTTTATTGTGTAGTTAAATAAGCGTATTATTTTCACGCAACGAGCTGAATTATTGACTTTCATGCTCTAGTGCGAAGTGCTTCACGGATCATGGGAAAAAGGAATCAGCGCTGGAGGGAACCAAAGCGACATGAAAATTTTTGCAACCAACCCGCAGTTCTCTTTGATTGTGAACGAAGCAGGTACGGTTTTCAGATTGTCAGGCTTTGTACGAGTAGGTGTTTGCATATATGACCTCAACTCTTCTTCATTTGAAAACCATACCTTCTGTCGTTGCAGATGAAGAGGATGATGAATGCAGCGTTGTGCTGGAGCTCATCCAAGAAAACGACAGACAGAAGTGTCGCTGCCTCGAAGATATCGCACTTTTCATTTACGAGGTATGAATTATGAATGAACCTTGACTTTCCACGAGGAATGTGAAATGATGTATATAAAATGACCTATTTATTTTCGATGCACAAAGTTCTAATTATGTTTTTCTTTAATGTTTAGTAATAACTAAATACTGTTTTCGCTGGTCACATTTTTGATAAAAAATATTTGCCGGCAAATTTTAGGTTGTTAACCTCAAAGCTGTGTAATACATGGCGAGTTTGTCTTCTCAGTTCCCGGGAGAGTACATAACGAACGCATGGTCTTCCTTGCTGCGTTTACTTCTGTACCCTTAAACAACGAAACATGGTTTCAATAACTTGTACTAAACTTCATTTCCTGCATTGAAAATATTAATCATCACCAATAACTTCGTGATTGTGACGGACCTTACTTTGTACACTGTCTGCTTTAATACAAACACAAACATCACAGTGTGTTGGGACGGGAGATCTCGCCGGCCTGAGATCACCGTTTATGTTCTTTGATCACTGAGACTCAGAAGTGATTTTTTGAGAAAGGGAAATAAAGCTATTTCTTAATCTTGGACTTAAAAGTAACTCCGTTGTACAAGACAATCAATGTCTTTTTAAGACAAATTCGAAATGCTGCAACGCTAAACTACTTCAGAAGTAGGAAGTTAAATGCAAACTATAATCTCAAAAAAGGGCAGGGACTATTTTTGTTCATTAGCATCTAAGGCAGAGCAAGAGATGATACTTAGAATTGAAATAGAAATAGTGTTTGCGGCAAAGTGGTTCGTACTAGTCCGATGGGTAGGTAAAGTGCAGCCAAGCGGAGGTGGTATTCTCCTGACGAACGAAATTCTCACCCTTCGAGGACACGTCTGAACTTCGCATAGTTCTTAAACAGGTGGTTAATTTTTTTTCATTAACAGTTAGTGAAACGTCCGATGTTTATCCGATGTTCGATGTCGACTTTTACTTATGTAATCGGTCGAGTGACTTTAAATACTTTCCATTCTCTAAAAATAAAAATTTATGTTAAATAAGACCACTATGAAGTGAATATGAGTGATTACGAGTTATTAGACACTTTTTGTTACAACTCATTTATATCGATGTTTGTTAATAGAAAACGGAAAAAAATAGTTCCAGCCATAAAGAGCGGATTTCCATTGCGCGACGTTGCGTGCTTTCTTTACTCACCAGAACAAGACTAGTGCTAAAACAGCACATACTTTCTCGACGGTGTTTTGACGCAAAATTTTCGTAAAGTACTCAAATATTCGAAAAATTGTACGCGACCTTATTTCAAAATCTATTTTATAAACAAAGATTTCGTTAGGGAAAAGTCTCTATCTTCATAATTGTAGTTGTAGGTAGACGCTGAAAAAAGTTTAAATTTTTGCAGTTTGTGAAAACTAAGAGTTTTTAACGAAAATGAGACATGCACCATTCTCTTAAATGTCCTTGACACTATCCAACAACAACATTCAATAAAAAAATGAACCTTTTTTTTTTAATTTTGAAAATTTCCAAGGCCGCGACATCAGCCAGATCGACTGGGGAATATCAATTTTGGAGAAAATTGAACTGGTACTGAACGGTTTAGCTGCTAGCGTTGTTCACAGACAGACGGACAGTCAGACGAACACAAGTTTTACCTTCAAACGATTTTTCGGTATCAAGGACCCAAAAAAACATAGATTCTGGCTACAACATGTGTTAGAAGATTTTTTTCTTACACATTTAGCAATTGGATGTATCCACTCTCGTTTCGGCCCGGCAACAATAGTTTTTCTGTCGAAAGTCCGCCGTTTTTTCCTGCAGCATTACACAATTTTCTCTTCTTAAGGAGTGCCTTCTTAAGTCGAGAAAGCAAAAATGAATGCGTATGCGAGTAGGCGTCGGCTGAGGCTGCCATCGCGTGAGGGATCCGGCTGCGCAATTTGCATCCGGGAGTGGCGGTCACCTCCCAGCCACTGCGCAACGCGCGCCCAGATGAATGACGTTGCCCCTCAAAGAAGCTCCAACAAATCCACGCGCAGAAAGGAAATACATTCAGCAAATACAAAAACCACCCACCAGTTAGACGTGGAACCAGTAGAACATTAACATTTCGTTATTGGGCATCTGAAGTTCGGGTGTTACGTAAAAGTAAATGGGTGATGTGTGATGTCTTACCAGCGAAATCAAAATAGGCAGACCTTAATTTCATTAATATTGCCTACTTCATTGCAATAGGCGGGGAATGTAACGGGTAATGCACATTCAACTTATAGGTATGCATGAATTACAAACATATTTCTTTTCAATATTTTCACACATTAGCATAACTGACTTTACAGGGATTGTTTTCTTGTAAATAACAACTGAAAACACAAACATACAAAAGTAAATAATAAATAGCGATATACCTTTCAATCAACACTGGAACAAAGGGTAACATTCATAAAAAACAGTCATTCTTTAGATAAATAGAAATAAGGGAGCTCAACAGGTTGTTCATTATTGTTAAATACCATTTAATGAAAACTAGTGAAAGAGATTAATTTAACAACACATTAGATAAGGACTTGCTCGCGAACCGCTTCCTTTACAACAAATAGCGATCCGTTTCTTAGATCCTTGTGCAATGTAATTGTGTGGTCGCGAATGTTCTCTCGTAAGGCTTTGTAACTGCACTTTTGATATGCAGAAGGTCGGTGCCGTCGCCCTCGCAGGGGCTGAGGTCTGGCGCATCGCCCGATTGCAACCCGCGGTCACTTTCTCTGACACCCGCACCCCTATTAAACCTCTCTCTCGTTGTCTGTCTGAGGAAACGTTGCACGATTGCATCCCGACCGGTGTTCCGGGAGGGAGAAAGAGGCAGCATTGTAGTACTAGTTAAGTTTCCATCCATGAGGAACGCAAGTAAATGTTCTCGCATAATTAAAGAGAGAACGTCGAATAGAGGTGAACGGGGCAGAATTATGTTATAGTTATCAAACTAAAATATAAATGTCTTAATTCTGCATAGTTTTAGTGATAGGCATGGTCTTCTTGGAGCAGTCCCACGGTATTAGTAGGAATAAGTTTTAATAAATTAATAATATTCAATATAGTTTAATACTAAAATAATAAGCATGTCTTAGACTTTCTATATGACCAGAACAAATACAAAAGAAGACAAATTAAATACAAAATAATATTAAAAGGAACATATATGCAAGAGTGAAGCAGTGATATCAGCGGATCTCCTTCTTCTACCTACGAGGAAAACCGAACAGGATGCAATCGGGCTACGCGTTTTGGAAAGACAGCTACTGGGCTTAGGGGATCTTGATCTTGAAATGGAATCGGGTTGGTCCGGCGCAGGTTCCTTAGGTGTTGGTATCCCGTAGTTGATCGATCGCACAAAGGGAAGGAGGCGTTGAGATGGCCTCGGTCCCCGGTGGCAAAAGACAACGTTTTGCATGCACGATACGCGACCAATAGCACCGTCGTTTTGGGCAGCAATTAGTGGTTTGTCAACAGCAGGGGCACACAGAAAACCAGCGAGGGCTCGATTAACCTAACTGGGACCAAACTGGAACTAGACTATGTGCAGACGAATCGTGACACTGTGCACACGTTTTATGTTGTCGCTAATTTGATGGAGATTCTGTTTTCCGGATATCAGTAATATAATTCGCGAACTTCAATGTATTGGGAGCATTCACATCCCATCCTATACAGCCCCAATACCTTAATCCTTCCATAATATCTTGGATTGATCGGTAATGGTATGTAAGATTTCTGTATAACGTGCATGTTTGTGTGTAGTTAAGGAATCCAACATCAAGGATAATGGTACAAGCACCGCGTTGGGGATAAAAGCTACCTTGTGTATGTATGTCATGGTTCAGGACCGAGATAGGTCTAAGGGCTATGTCGACTTGCTGTTCGTGGAGCACAAGTGAGCTCTTCTCCGAGAATTGTCCGCAGGAGAGCGGTAGTTACCAATAGCAATTATTGTCGCCCATAGATGGCGGAGGAGGGAGGAGGAGAGGAGGGAGATGAAGAGGGAGGAGGAAATGAAAACGTTAGTTCCAACCCAAGACAATTGGAAACGAACTTTTGCGAGAAAGTCTTTGCCATTTTGTGGCATCACTATTTCATTCTTAACAGTAAAGTACGGTTCCAAAATGTTTTTGAAATAGGAATCTCCTTTAAACATATGAGCTTTCAAAAACTGGAAATTCTAATCTCGCGCGCTTCTTTTCTGAAGAGTGTGTTTCACGAGATGGCTAAAGATTTCGTAAGATATTTGCAATATTATAATATTACGTATCCGTTCCAGGTAATACGAGAAGGTAAATGCTGTTGTATTCCATTATGATAATGGTAAATACGTTAAACATTGTCTCATATGACAGAAATTTTGTCTCCATCGACAATAACCACGTCGGTTTGTAGATTTCTTTGCAACTGCGACAATGCTGACCTTGCTTTACTGCACATGTTCACTCTCTATTCCTCTCTAGAGATTACATTTTGGCGAAATCTTCTTGCAAAATCGTTTGATCATGCCCGAGCACACGATTGAAGTTCGAATGCACAAAGAAAAGAATTTGATGCATGTAAGGCCATACCAATTCGCAACCTAAGAACCCTCATTACGTTGGGGCAGGATTAGAGAGGCGAAGCGAAATGTGCCGTCGGCATTGCGCTTAGTATTTTTAGTCGTGCGACGCAAAAAAGATTTAAAAGACACTCATGTTGCAACACTCTATTAACATCGAATACTTTCGTCCAAATCATGTGTTACGTAATACAGGAACAGAACTTTAAGAGATGTTTTAAAAGCAGTACATTTACTTACTTTAGTATTTACATTATCCATTGATAAATCTGATATCACCTATTAAGCTGAGGATTTTGTTTTTCATATTTTATTCACTATCAAAATAATTTCCTCATAATAATTATTTCTTCTTATGTCAGTGCCATGTAACAAAACTGAATACGTTAAGACTTTATTCGAATAGTCGGTTGCTCTGAAGTACTGTTTACATATTATCCCAGCTAATAATTTTGTACACAGTGCACTCATGGTAAAAGCGGAATCCATAAATTATTATACATATCCATATGTTATTCAAATGAAAGGTTAGAACATTAAAGAACAAAGAGGATAGAACCAAAAGGAATCAATTATTTTTCTCAGAGATGGTGAAACATTGATGTGAAGCTGTTAATTGAATATCTTCGGTGCGTAAGAAAAGTGGCAATCACGTCAACTAGTGGTGCCCCCAAACGCCTTTGTTGACGAAATTTTGAATAGTGTTGAAGTGTATTCAAAGTTCATGTACAGTACCCTCAAAAATTAAAATATCCGTTTCAAACTCAGAGGACTTAGAGCTCATTTAAATCAATGAAATAATATTAATTTTGGAGAACATCGACTCAAACGCTTAGGAGCTAGCTTTGGCTACATACGCACAATTAGACGTTTTGCCCTCAGTCAATTATTCTGTTTCAAGGACTCACAACACATAAATTCTGATTATCCAACGTATTAGAGGAAGTAATTGTACTATATTTGAGTATAGGATCAAGATTTATCCCTTTTTTCGTCAGCAGAGCCCAGCAATTAGAGTTTTTCGGTTGAAATTTCGCATTTGAGTTCTTCCTGTGCGCTAATTCTCGTTGGTGCGCAGGCGGCGGGGCCGGCAGCGCAGCGCCTGAGCGCGGAGCAGCTGGCGGGCAAGCCCGAGTGGGGCGAGGGCCACGAGCACCTAGGCCGCAGCGCAGTCACCTACAAAGAGAGCCTACCCAGAGGCGCATACGTGCTCATCGCCTCCACCTTCCGGCCCGACCGCCCACGCGCGTTCCTGCTGCGCGCGCACAGCCGCCGCCCCGTGCAGCTGCGCGCCCTCTGAGCGCTCGGCTCCAGCACACTGACCACGCTCTCCTCGCCTTTGGTTTCCGCTGACCACACGGCCACAGCGCAGAGGTGCAGCACGCACGCTCTCCTTGCCTTTCCCAACCTGCTGAGTTTTAGCCCTTGCCTTCCAGCAGCGCGCGCAAAGTTTTGCATACAATTTATGGATTCTTAATATTAATAAATTCAAGACGCATCATTTTATCTATCATCCATTTATTATCATTTTAATTTTACTTTTTTCCGCGTAAAAATTGCCTATTCATCGACTGTAACTATATTAATTGTAGAAGAAATAAATATACACATATCTTTGTATTATTACACATTTGTTTGCATTCATTGCATTTTTGTCGTAAGTAAGCATCGAATTAATAAAACAAGGTAAGGTGGAACGACCAAATAACTTAAATCGAAATATTGCCGTACAATACAAATATATTAAGGCTTTTATATAATATAATAATATTAGCCCGTTCTGTAAAAGGTAAAATCAGTATCTTATAGATCGTACTCAAAGTAGATCAAAAGTATATTGCTTTATACAAATGTATAGCAGCTTCTTTGTAACATTCATACATGAATTATTATAATAATACTAACGCATTATTTTAACATGTGTATGATTATTTTTGCAATAAATGGCTCTACAATTATGTTTTTATTTGCTTTTTCAATACCTTTTTCACAAGTATCATATGCAATTGTTTTCTAAAGTCAATATGCATTTTGATATTATTACTTTTCTTTGCTATGATACAGTACAGGAGGAAAAGTATTAGAATCATCTTAACAATACGATGTTGAATATTTCATCATTTAAAAAAATATTTTATTGTTCTTGTTCGACAAGGGTTTTTATATTACACAGTATACATAATTTTTAACCTACATTCCATCAAGTATGTACACTCTTGGAAACATTACGTGAAGTGTTGAAAATGACTTGGCTCGAGAGATTGATGGCCCTGGACATTCCTTGCTTGCCGACAGCGCTATCTAATGTTAATTTTCGAAACTAAGTTCTGTAGATCGCACTATGAATATTAAATTTATTTTATTGGAGAGCGTGTAAAATACTTTAACGTCCATTGAGAGCTAAAAAGTAGAAATACAGAGAAAAAGGACTTTCGTGATTCCTGCCAGTGAAACTGTCTGCAATTACAATAATTCTTAATGATTTGTACTATACTACTAGATAGAAATAAATAAATAAAATAGGAACTGCGTGGATATACTCTCGTATGCTATTTATATAATGTGAATAAGGTGACGGAACTGTTGATGTGCTGCAATTACAATAATTCTTAATGTGACAAGGCTTTGTATTTACAATGTCTACACTGAAGTAAATACGGTGGTTCTGATGAATGTTTCTGAGATATCTTGCCATCATGTGGGAGGCCTTAGTTCTATGGTTATTGAGATTTCGTAGATATAAAGTAAAACCATTAAAATAAATTTCAAAATACACTTTGCCGAAAACGAATTTTGAAGGAGAAAATGTTCCTAGACTTTGATTATGCTATTCGAGTTCATAACAATATCATACAAACATCTATTTCAGATGTATGTAGAAATTCATTATGTGTATTGCACGTTTTGTATGCACATAAAATATAATACTGATGTTAAATAAAAATAATGGCACTAAATAGCGATTTTTTTTATTTCGAAAAAACATTTCTACCAAAAAGTAACGCAAAATATGACTGCTTCCAGTTAAACACCAGACTGCCAATTAGCTACATTACTGATGTCTTTTTGCTATCTACAATATTCTAGTTCATAAAACAGTAGAATAAACGCATTTCTTTCGGAGAAAGATTATAGATTTTCTCTCATAAGCCTCATCGTACTGATTTGTATCTGTCCTTCGCAGTATTGTCGTGTTTACTTACGTCTCCAGGTCAAAAGGAGATAAGGGACTCTTCAGCGTTGCATTTACAAGTGTGTCGATGTTGTAGATTTCTGCATTGGCTGCACTTGGTTCTAAATCTATAAAAAAAAGAGCGATAGCGGCTTTTTCCTTACTTGATGAAGTAGATTGTGCATGTTACGCACGGTGTGACCATTGGATTTGCGTTCAGCTTTTACTTCTTCTATGTTTGCTGACGGATGCAGGTATCTAAGTACTACACGAAATGCTCTTTCTTTGGTTGATAAGTGTGGCATTTGGCCTCGGATTCGTCTAATTGTTTAATTATTGCTCTGTGAACTTCAATGGTTTTCGGTAGCGACCTCGCTGAACATTTTGAACGTAAAATCCTCGTCTTTTACTTGTAGTTTAAAAATATCTATTAATTTTGATTCATTAGTAACACTTTGATTCGTTAGTAACACGAATATTGGCGGTATGTTATGATCTATGGGGGGCTTTTTGGGAGTTTCCACTTCTAAGTTGTCTTCTAATGCTGCATATTGATTTTTATGCGTAAACACGGGCGCACTAACACTCGAGGGAGTTGGCATGAACTGGTCACTATAGGCGTGTTTTTTTCTTTTTCTAGGTTGTTGCCACTCTAGGGTACTCACGGTTTTATTTGAGGTTGTTTCAGACGACCCCGGACCTTGTAGTTGTTGAGTCCATTGCTGTGGTTGTGTTCCATGAAGATCCCAGGGCTGGCCCTGGTGATGTGCTGTATAGAAGCCTGTTGGATCTCTCATAAGTAGTTGTTGTTGATTTAACTGTATCAATTGTGAATCCTGATTCATTAAATATTGATGTTGCTCTAATTTTTGCTGCGCATTTTGTTGCATTTGTAAGTTAATTTGATCACTGTTTTGCTCCGCGGTGCCACTTGTACCTTGACCATTCATTGGTGTTGAATTAATATCACTGAATTCACTATGATGATTTAATGCTTCCACTGCTCTAGCGATGTGCTGCCCCGTATCAGGGGAGACACTCAAAAACATTGTCACTATTACTGTACACTGAACTCGTAGAGTTTGTACTCTGCTAACGTTAGCTCACTGAAGTTGCCCGTGAAGGAGAGCGCTCGGCGCACGTCCGCTTGCTACCGTGTTCAGGCG